GGTGCGAGATCTGCTCTGGTTAGGTTCTGAGCCCCGCCACCGTCCCTTATCGTTTTCAGGGATCATAATTACATCTTTGAGTTCATACACAAATTTTGAATCAGCTTCTCGTGTGTGAGGAAGAAAGCTGAGTTCATGTTGCCAGTCCAGGGACAAATAGCTATTTAAATTCCACAAATCAGTCAAGGATATATAAATTTGTGCGTTAACGTACGGAGTCGAAATAGGGAAGAGAGTGTACCAATGGACACGGTATTGAAGAGAAAATGCAAAAGGGACGTCGGAAACGTCGCCAACAGCCCTAGCTTCTGGCAATTATACATGGTGAAAACCTTGTGCATCCAATCGGCTGATTCCTTACGATGAACCCTACTGCCCCGCAAGCGGCAGTGAAGCTTCTGTTTGATGCTAATCGTCCGGTCATTCCTTGTTTTTCGTTTTTCGCGTCGTTTTTAAGCTGAGGAGTCACTGGAAAAAAGAGGTGTCACTGGGGCAACTTGCTTAGCGCCTTTACCTTACAACTTTTCGCCACAAAACTGACTTAGCGCACAAACCCACTACACCTCACGCAATCTTTCGAAAATTTCATAGGTCATCGCGGGCGTTCCTCCAACGGAACCGCTGCGGAGGTGACAAGGGCGTTAGAACATCGCAGACATCGCATCCGACTCAACGTGGCAATGCTGCAGCGCGTCAGGTCGTTTATGTCGCGCCTGAGACGTGATGAGCCACACTCACCACAGTCCAGTGACTTTCGCAGTATACCGCCTCTCAGTACGTGTAATGCTGCTACCGGAACAAGTCACTGTGCCATATTTATGCGACAGTCAGTAGGACCTGATCGTATCCTGGAAATTTTCGTAGCCACTATTCCTTCCAGAAAAAAAACAAATGAAGGAAGTTTATAAGTGAATTCCATGATAGCACGGATTTCTTTCTTGGCTTATGTTTACACGATATTGAACAGCTGCGTTCTAGTACATACTTGGACATGATGCAGTGATCACCTTAAGAAATGAGATCTGTGCTTTGCAGGTATTGAAACGCCGTATTTTGAAAGTGGACTGAAAAGATTGAATTACGTCAGGAAGCGTTTCTTGAGAAGAGGAAAGGTCTGAGATCCAACTTATTTCTTTGATATATGAACCTTATAGAGGTGTATGTTCACAAAATCGTTTCTTTTAATACCAAGCAGAGAAGTGTTCAGGCGAGAGATCAAGAGGCACTGATCAGCGGCTCCCTTAAAATGCCAAGTCGGTCACATCCATCCATGGAGAGACTCAGTGAGGTGATTATTACTGACTCTTTTTAAGGAGGCGCCGGAAGGATCTGCAGCTTCCCCAGCATTGCTGAGTACCTCAGAGAGGGAATGTGCATAGTTGAAGAGTTGCACTCCTGTTTGGAGCTGTTCTAGTTGCGAAGTTACCATCGTAGGCGATGGTAAATTGTGTTTTTTTTTCTTTCTGCTTCCGCAAACGAGCGGCGGTAATCATTCCCCCATCATCGTCATTGCGTATTTGCAGTCCTGAGCTTCAGGTCTCAAAAGGGTTAGCATGTAGTACCGCCGCACGCGTACAGTTAACATCGTCGCCATCGGTCAGGGTGGCACCACAAGGTATGGAATGGGCCCTCCACGGCCCTCCCACTGGTGGTTTTCTGCCCAAATCGCTCAGTAGCCCATCACTATTGGTAGGAAAGGCAGCCGGAAATGGGCTCATTTCACCTCTACTGACATTGGCACCCCATACTGCGATGACCAACATTCTGTTATATGCCTGTAGTTGTGCATAGACTACTGCGGAAAGAGCCAGAGTGAGCTAACTACGACAGCAGTAAACGTAGAAGAGATGACATGAAGCTAGGCGATCTATTTCGATCTGAGTGGCCTTAACGATAGCTCAACCGGGTGTGATTACCATGCAAGGTCAAGTCTTGCCCATAATTGA